TCTAAACTTGCTTTTCCCATAACTTCCAGGCATGATTAAAAGGTTTGCTGTGTATCTTTGACCTTCAGTCATGGATGCATAAACATTCATATCGTCAGACTTATTCTTTGAGGTATCCTTCAATCTGCTTCGTGTCTACTCTTTTATTTTTTGTTTTAAGAAGACAATGTTGGTGCTGTTGACTTAAGATTTAAAAGAAGTAGCATCCTGACCAATCACAAGCTTGCAGTCTCTGTCACTTTAGACAGATAGTTCTAATGGCGTTGCGTACCTCCGTATCCATGCAGATGAAGAAGCGTGAAGTAGGCTTTGTAAGTGAAGCCTAATTTAGCAACAGGTGAAACTGAAACATTAGAATATGGTACAAAAATGTATTTGTCAGTAATTGAACCTAAAAGGTGAAACTAATACTGTGATTATCACTAAAATGTTGATGATTATGGCTTACAGCTGATGAAGTCCCCACATTCAAACCCTCAGACAATTATAATATTGTGAAAAGGGTCAATGTTCTAGACTCAAAGTGTCACTCTAATCAGCTAATGAATCCAGAGCACCTGCAAAGGGTTCCTGAACCTTTAAATAGTCTCTCAGTCTAAGTTAAATTACTTAAATAAATTAACTTTTGCACCATATTGTCATTTTTTGAGATTTACTTGTAGTTAGGTTTAGGACTGGATTATTATCTGACGAGTAAGAAGATTAGGGTGGAACATGTAGGGAGTTCAAAAATCGCTGTGTACATCTCGAACGACAAAGAGAAAACACAAAGAAGCCAGTGAAGAAGGCTCAGCAGTAGAAGAACTAACAGGCTCCCACAAAGTATTTTGTCCTACTTCTACCAGTGCACAATAGAAGGGATCCTGGCCCATGGGTGCATACGGTGGTTCTCCTGCAGCATCCCACAAGAAAGGAAAGACCTGCAGCAGAGAACCAAGACAGCAGAAAAGATCACCAGTGCCCCGCTTGCACAGCCGAGAAACTGCTGAAAAGATCAGACCTGACTGCCCCCTGGCCAGTGTGTGTGGGCAGATTGTTGGACTTTAGCACGGCCTGTTCTGCTGATCTGGTCTCATGGCTAAAAGTCAGGTGTAAAAACACCATCTCTGTTCCCTGGCTTAATGACAAAACCTGTGCTCTTAGACTGATACATGAATGTAGGTGCTGGTCCTAAAGTAGAACATCATGACAAGTTGATTTATTTCAGAAATTCAATTCAAAAAGTGAAACTTGTATATTAGATGAATTAATTACACACAGACTGATGTATTTCAGATGATTGTTGCTTTGATTTTGAAGATCATAACAACTAATGAAAATCCCAAATTCAGTATCCTTTAGCCTGGATCACTGCAGCAATGCGGCGTGGCATGGAGTCCATCAGTCTGTGGAACTGCTCAGGTGTTAAGAGAGCCCATGTTGCTCTGATAGTGGCCTTCACTGTTGGGTCTGGCGTACTGCATCGTAGACGTTCTATGGGGTTAAGGACAGGCGTGTTTTCTGGCCAATCAAGAACAGGGATACCACGGTCCTTAAACCAGGTACTGGTAGCTTCAACACTGTGTGCAGGTGCCAAGTCCTGTTGGAAACTGAAATCTGCATCTAAGTTGGTCAGCAGCAGGAAGCATGAAGTGCTCTAAAACTTCCTGGTAGACTGCGTTGACCTTTGACCTCAGAAAGCACAATAGACCAACACCAGCAGATGACATGGCACCCCAAACCATCACTGACTGTGGAAACTTTACACTGGACCTCAAGCAACATGGATTCTGTTCCTCTCCTCTCTTCCTCCAGACTCTGGGACCTTGATTTCCAAAGGAAATGTAAACTTCACTTTCATCAGAGAACATAACTTTGGACCCCTCAGCAGCAGTCCAGTCTTGTGTGTTTTTAGCCCAGGTGAGACGCTTCTGACGCTGTCTCTTGTTCTAGAGTGGCTTGACACCAGGACTGCGACAGCTGAAACCATGTCTTGCATACGTGTGTGTGTGTGTGTGTGTGTGTGTGTGTGTGTGTGTGTGTGTGTGTGTGTGTGTGTGTGTGTGTGTGTGTGTGTGTGTGTGTGTGTGTGTGTGTGGTGGTTCTTGAAGCACTGACTCCAGCTGCTGTCCACTCTTTGTGAATCTCCTCCACATTTTAACAGGTCTTGTGTCACACTCCTCTCCAGGGTGGGTCACCCCTGTTGCTGTTACACTATTTTCTACCACATCTTGTCCTTCCCTTCTCCTCTCTGGTGATGTGCTTGGACACAGAGCTCTGTGAACAGCCAGCCTCTTTAGCAACGGCCTTTTATGTCTTGCCCTCCTTGTGTAAGGAGTCGGTGGTCGTCTTTTGGACAAGTGTCAAGTCAGTAGTCTTCCCCATGATTGTGTAGCCTACAGAACTAGACTGAGAGACCATGTAAAGGCTTTTGAAGGTGTTTTGAGGTAATGAGCTGATTAGAGTGTGGCACCAGGGGCCTTCAATACTGAACCGTTTCACAATATTCTAATATTCTGAGATACTGAATTTTGGATTTCATTAGTTGTCAGTTATAATCACAGAATTAAAGAAATAAACATTTGAAATATATCAGTCTGTGTGTAATGAATTAATCTAATATACAAGTCTCACTTTCTAAACGGAATTATTGAAATAAATCAACTTTGTCATGATGGTCTAATTTTTATGGCCAGCACCTTTATTAGGACAAAAGAACAAGCTACACATTCCTCAACAATTGCTGACAAGCCTCCGTGTCCCGTTACTAAAAAGCAGTCAGATCAGCTGGAGATAAATATTTTGCTGATTTAATAACAATGCAGCTTGGTGACCAACACAAACTTCACAGTTTGCATCATGTCCTTTAGGCGGGAGCTAGAGAACTTCAAAACCAACAAAAAACCAAGAGTAAGAGTGTTTCAACCCGCCTGCTACAGAACTGGGCTGTAGGATGAAAACACTTCATCCTAAACTGTTTCACAGAGTTTGATTTCCTAAAAAACAGCTACATTTGTTTCAAATGGAAAATGTTTGTCCACCTGAAGAGAAATAATCAGTCTATTACCTTGTCCGTAGCTTGTCCAGTGATTCCTTCTCTATCGTTTAAAATTCCACGGGGAAAGCAGAGCATTACTCTTGAAGGTGTAAAAGCTTGTTTCACACCACAGTGCACAACAAATGGGCACTGTGGCAGTGGTGAGTTGTGCACCTGAAGTGACTGCTAACCAGGATCCCGGTTCATCCCAGTGTACAGAGCGTCCCACCTTGGCACTTTGCAGCGTTTTATGATTCATAGCTTATAATGGAAACCTCTGGGAACATCAAAACCCTAAAAAGAGGAATTTGTTGCGTGCCCTGAGAGGAAGCGTTATTACTTTTGCTGAGTCATGAATAATGGATCAAGTTGCTGCATAATCTCTTGGGTGATAAGTACTCACATCAGCACGCAGGGGAAAGCTAAAAACGGAAGGCGTAAAAACAAAAGACAGAGATGGCACCTTTCACAGGATCACCTCACCAGACGCCACACCCGCTCCCCCACCAGCTGTGACATAACCACCCTTTCACTTTCTAAACATCCATTTTGTTGTTTGCAAATCCATCCACCTTGACAGAACGTGTTCTCACAGCGGGCAGGGATTTGGCTGGAGATGTGGAGGATCACTATGGCAACAGTGACTTTGGGCTTTTTGATGCTATCCCTGCATAGATGGATATCAGTAGCATCTCTCAGGCAAGTGATTGTGTTAGGGCAGCTGATGGGACTAAAGCACATCTATTTCAGAGAAGTGTTCTTTTCACTGGGTTGGAGCTGAATAACAAGCAGCTCCAGGAGCAGCTCAAGAGCCTCCAGCAGGACAACAGCGCCACCACATGGCAGCAGGTGGTACAACCCACCTGCATTCACAGGTCCCCCGTGGAATGTTCCAAAGGTTTAGAAGATCACACCTACGCATCAGATTTACACACACACACACACACACACAAGCCTGTGTGTGTTTTATTCATGTTATCAGCGGCCTGCTGGCTCCCTGATGCTGATAACTGTTGTTAGGCTGTGTTGAACTACAAAAAAAGCAGCTTTTCTCAGTAAGTTGAACGACTGAATGAATGTTGATTAAAAGACCTGCATCTGGTTTTAAAATGTGTTTCATTCTATGTTCACTGTTGCAACACTCAGATGAAGATTATTTATTTATCAATTCATTCTTTATTTAACCAGGAAGGTCCCACTGAGAAAAAAAACCTAATTTTCAAAGGAGTCCGGGCCAAGCGGCAGCAAAAGTTACAGTTACAAAAAGTTACTGTTACAAAGACATGTTATGTAGACGTTTCCTTCACAGCAGGGATGTGCACACACACACACACACACACACACACACATATATATACATTATGAAAATATTTGAAATTGGGTTTGAATTTTGCAAGAAAAGCATGATTCTTATGTGGTTGTTTTATGTTTGTAGAAAAGCTTCAGATTCCCGAGATCTGATGGGTGGATTGATCTGTGGGTCTGATAAATAAATGAATTAATCAGCAGCATCACATACAGGATCCGGGTCACTCTGGTTTCATTCATATTCTCAGGTTATAATCACGTTTTATGAACAATGCTCATAGTCAACTTTTTAGTAAGACACGGTGAGAGTTTGTGTTTGTATTTACCAAGATTTGTTTTTGAAGCCTGTTTAAAGCTGCTATAGCAAATTTGAAAAACAAGTTAGCTTAAACTAGTGATGGGTCCAGCAACACGACACACCGGCGCACGTGTCAAGCTCATGGAGCAAAACCTGTGTCGATGCGTGTGTTGCTTTGAGAAAAAGTCACGTGACCGACATTGCTGCATTGCCAAGGCGCCAAACTGTGTTTACAAAGCATCGACTCTGCATCTGTCAACGGGATGAGTGGCCGTGAAAAGAAGAAAATGACCATTTCAAAGATAAAACAAGACATCCCTCTCTACATCAACAAAATGGAGCCAGAGAGAAAAAGAATAGTTTCTGCTGTGTGGGATCATTTTGATCTTTTAACTGCAAATAAGATACGTGTTGGTCTTTCCTTGTTTCTGCGCATCTGTCAGAGTTGAAAACAGCAATGTGAATGACTCTCAGTGTAAATGATTTATTTAATTTTATTTAGGTTAAATGTTGCATCTGCTCAGCGGAGTTGTCTTTTACAAATAAGAGCACTTCCTCAAAGCTGAGACATTACAGAGTCAAGCATGAAAACGAAGAGGAAGCAAATACACCAAGACCGAACACAGGTAGACCTATATAGACACTGGGCATGCTTTGTCACAACTGTTTTACTAATATATGTTTTATTATTTTGAAATCAAGAATCTAGGAAGATTGCTCTGGACCAAGCAGTCCTGAATTTTATTATAAAGGACTGCCAACCCCTGAGCATTGTGGAGAGTGAGGGGTTCAGGGGGTTGATTCAGGTCCTTGATCCATCTTACGCTTTGCCAACCAGAAAGGTTTGTATACACAATGTCTCAGATAGCTGCTGTTACTCATGTAATATATACAGTGCTTAACAAATGTATTAGACCATCGTCTGATTTAAGGTTTATGACACAGCAAACAAAAATAAACACTTGTGATTCAAACATCATGCATGCTTGAATAATTTCCGCCAGCTCACATTTGGGTATAAAACTGGATTCAGTTTTAAATTCCTACCTTCTATTCAACAGGGCAAAACACAGAGAACTTCATAGCTGGATGTTTTTCTTGCTTTAATGACAGGTGGTCTAATTAATGTGTTAAGTACTAAACTGATTTGATTTTGATTCATTTTCAGACGGTTAAGGAAATGATGGCCAAAAGACATGCGGAGGAACTCGAACGAGTAAAGAGGGAAGTACAGCAAGCTGTGGCAGTGAGTATAACAGCTGACATGTGGACCTCCTTGAACATGGAGGCTTACTTAGCTCTTACCTGTCACTACATCAATGATAACATGCAGTTGTGTACATCTGTGTTGGGAGTCTAACACTTTCCACAAAGTCACACTGCTGACACTCTGGCCCAAGTCAAAAAGGGCATGATGGATGACTGGGCCATAACAAACAAGGTAAGGTGTCTTGTGACCGACGCAGCACCAAACACGATGGCAGCAACACGAACTCTTCAAATTCGACATTCAATCTGCATTTTGCACACAAACTAAATTTAACAGTCAAAAAATCCTGTGATCAGATCCCTGAACTTTCATCCATAAGACACAAATCTAGGCAGATCGTATCATTCTTCAGATCCAGCACCACAGCAAAAGAGAAGCTAGCTCAAGTGCAGCAGCAGATGGGAGGCCCACCTTGACACTTGTCACTGAGGTACCAACACGTTGGAGCAGCACATATCAGATGCTGTCACGGCTACATGATGAGAAAGAACCAGCGTGGGTATCTCTTGCCTCTCCAGACAGATTTAACACACTCACAGCTGATGAGTTCAACATCTTAAGGGAAGCACTTCTTGTGCTGGTCCCTTTCCATCAGGCCACAGTGGAGTTGTCTGAGGAGAGGAGAGTTTCAGGATCAAAGGTCATCCCGATGATGAAAATGCTAAATTGTGCACTTGAGCGGAACTCTTTACATCTACACACAAGCAGCCACACATCTCCATGACCAGCTTAGACGTCGCGTCACAGACACTGCTTCTAACCTGGAGTCATTAAGCGTGTCGACCCTATCAACACTTTTAGACCCCAGATTTAAAACACTCAGATTTCGTAGTTCCTCCAAGTGTAGTGAGGCTGTCAGTCGCCTGAAAAAGGAGTGCGCCGCAGTAATTGGGGGGTTGGATGAGGAAAACGAAAAGTAAATCTGTGTTTTGTGATCAGTTTAATTTGACACGAACACGACAAACACGCTTTCTTGACAATCTTTGTGAGTAAAAAAAATGTGTAGAAATAAAAACGAACAACGTAGGTTATTAGGGAAATAGCGGGCGAGCTGTGTTGATGCATGACTGCACATGCACCGTGAGCGGTTCTGGTACTTTTTGGGTCGCAGCCGCTCACTGCGCCACTTCAACAGTGCGATACCCTCACGAGGGACGAGCAAAATATCAAACACTCGAGAAGTTCGTGCGAGCTCACAATTGCTGATCGGTAGCTGGTCACGTGGTGTTAATCGCCTCTCGTAACCCCCTGAACACTACACGACGCTCAGAGCAAACTCGCCCCGATCTTGTGGATTCTCGCACGAGTGGAAAATCGGCTCAAAAAAGTGAAACAGTCGCACAGAGTCCGCCCGGCTTAAGCCATCTGTATCGCCCTACAGGAGTGTTGAAGGTTGTGAGGAATGAAGACTGCTCATCCAGTTCTATCTGAAGGAATCCAGACCGGGGCGACGGGGACAGGAGTTAAGTACTCGCACCGTAATCGGAAGGTTGCAGGTTCGAGCCCCGCTCAGACTGTCGCTGTCGTTGTGTCTTTGGGCAAGACACTTAACCCACGTTGCCTGCTGGTGGTGGCGCCTGTGCTCGGCAGTCTCGCCTCTGTCAGTGTGCCCCAGGGCAGCTGTGGCTACATCATAGCTCATCCCCACCAGTGTGTGAATGGGTGAATGACTGATTGTGTTGTAAAGCACCTTGGGGGGGTTCAAGGACCCTAGAAGGCGCTATATCAAATACAGGCCATTTACCATTTACCAATCCAAATTTTGCATCCAAAACTGAGAAAATCTTTGCACCAGGAATAGCAGATACTACCTCTTCAATAGTGTGCATGGGGTAATGTTCTCTTTTGATGACTTCGTTCAAATCACTGGAGTCAATACAGATCCTCACTTTGCCTCTCCGGGTGACTGCCACCATTGAACTGACCCAGTCTGTGGGCTGTTTGACCTTGGTTACATGGCCATTCAACCTCCATCTCACGCAGTTTCTGTACTATTCTGTCTTTTAGTGCAGCAGGTTGTCTTCGTGCTGGGTGTACAACACCTGAAGCCCCAGGGACAAGTTTGATTGTGTACTTGCCTGGTAGCGTGCCTGTGGTGTGCATCAGTTATGGATATTCCTTTAAGCATGGCGGTGTGGATTGAAAAGATGAGTTAATACTGTAAGTGTCGCTCTTCTGAGTTCCCTCTGCATCTGCTAGAGCATCACACCTTATTATCAAACCAAGCGCTTCGGCTGTCTCCCCACTGAGCACATATTCTTGAGAAATGTCCATTATTTTAAACTCTGCAGTGATGCTGCGCTCTTTGTACGTCATTGTTAGCTCTACTGCTTCAACTGGCATGAGCTGGTGGTTTGAATAAGAGCGTGATTGTCTCTTGGAGGGTTTCAGCTCACCAGAGTGTGGAAGATGTTGGTAACAGTCTAGCTTTAGCGTGTTACACCTAGCACCGGAGTCGATTCTGAACATGACCGTTTTCAACAGTATGTTAACGGATATTGCCCGTTTTTCATCACTGCGAGTATTAGCTTGCGCAGCAACTTGAGTCATGCTGATGTACAGAACTTCTTCATCTGTGTGTTTCTCTAAACGAGGTTCTAATTCTAGCATGTGTACTTTCCTCTTACGACACACAGCCATCCAGTGATTTGGCTTGTGACAGTAAGAGGACACTGAGCCTTTTACTGGACATGTGCCTTTACTCCACTTATGTTAAGGATGTTTCCCGCAACTCAAACAAGACGCTGTCAGGTTCTGTAGAACTGGCTTTGCTTTGTCTGGAAAGCGAGACTGATTGTAATGTGACTTGGGCTTAGCTGCTACCGTAGCCACCTGAGAGAAGCCATCCTCTCTATTTGCATTTGTTTCTGAGATGTTTCATATTGCTGGGGAATCTCAAAGGCTTTAGCCAGCATTAGGTCTTCACCCCATGTCGAGTAATCTTTATTGGATTCTTTTTTTTTTCTCTGACACCAGCTATTATAGCATCGATTAGCATATCATCAGCATCAGTATGTTCACAGTCTATCAAGACCAACCTCAAATCCCAACACATTCTCACTCCCAGCGCGTCAAAAACAAACACTTGGTCAGCCACCCTCCACGTCAAACCCCAGACGCCAAAAGTGCCCTTTTTCATTACTTATGTGCAAAAAGGGGTTTTTCCCTTTTGTAACTGCAGATCCCAATGCAGCGTAAAACTGCCGTGATGAGATATCCGCTGATGCGGCACCGAACCAGCTCATTTAACCGCACCTAAACCTTAACGTTTCACTATTTATAACCTTCCCCTCTCCCTCATCCTAACCTTAACCCTTTTGCTACCTAAAACGTTACTCTCACTGTGATCAAGCGTTTGTTTCCCATGCATTCTGACTCTGACAGTCAGAGTCTGACTGTGAATTTTCGTATTTGCCGCCCAAGGGGAACGTTAGAACATACCATCTGGCGAGGGGGAGGTTACAAATACCCTCTACTTTTAACCTCCACCTTGGTAGTTGAAATCTCCCCCTCACGTTGGCTTGGTCCAAACCCGACCAATGACTAGGTGGCTCCCGCCGTTCACTTCATAGAGCCGGCTTTTAGAGCGACCGACACATCACTAACGTGTTCGCTAGCAAGATGGTTAAGGTTAGGATAGGGGTGAGGGGAAGGTTAAATAAAAGGATACGGTTAAATAAGAGGATACGGTTAAGGTGAGGTACAATGAGCTTGTTTGGCGCCCTGGCTGCGGACATCCCATCACGTCAGTTTTACGCTGCATTGGAATCTGCAGTCAAATAAGGGAAAAATCATTTTTCGCACATAAGTAACGAAAAAGGGCACTTTTGGCGTCTGGGGTCTGACGTGGAGGGTGGCTGACCAAGCGTTAGTTTTTGACGCGCTGGGAGTGAGAATGTGTTGCAAATCCTTCACTAAGTGGTCAAAACTTTCATGCGTGCCCTGTTTCCTTTGAAGTGACGACGAGCGATCCTCTTGTTTTTTCTCGGCCTTATGTAGCAACCAAACTTATCAAGTACCTTAGTAGGGTCCTCTTTTTCCCCTTCACCCCGGTCCAAAGTCTTGTAGATTTCTCTGCCTTGCTCACGGATCCACGTGCCCAGCCATCCTGCTTTCTGCTTAGCAGCTAGCTCTGCTAGCAGCCGATTGAAGACAACAGCAGCGTGATATCTGAACCTTTCGAACTCTTGATACAGGTCGGCGACATCCCAATCAATCTTTGGATGCTCAAACTACTGAGGTGTAGCCATTGTGAATATCTGCACTACAGACTTCTGACACCATGTAATGTATTTGTGTCGATGTAGCCGACAAAACGAGGCTCAGGCCGTGTCTCCAGATCAGCGAGTGGTGTTTTTTTTATTCTCGCCTGCTTTTCTGTGCACAACAGAGCATGACTGCCCTCTGCTGGTAGGCAGGAGGAGTACACATTACAATGACAGCAGTCTCAGCAATACATTACAAAACCTACATCCTTCAGGGTGTCAATGTGAAGATTTTCTCAGATCGTCTTCATCATCATCATCAAGAGGAAGCCTGGCTGCACACCAAACTGCTGTTCATTGGACATAATCTGCTGAATTCCCTCAGCAGTTTGTAAATTAATCTTTGCTAACTGCAGGTGAGCAAATCCTCTCTGATATTACAGTTTGTTTCATGTGCATCAAGCTAACCACAGATGACATGGACTGAGTCCCAGCTGCAGTTCGCTTCAGAGAAATACATCACACTGATATTAATATTTATTGTGAAGCTTCGACTGGAAATAGACAGAAAAATAACATCTGAATCCTGAAACAATCTCAACTCCAACCTTTAAATACATGGAAGAGGAAGAAATTTACAAGGAATCATTTAGAAGAGCTTCAACAGGAAACAAATATGATCTGTGACTCTGTAAACATGTTTTTCAGTGAAAGAGACAGATATGCACAGACAGACTGCTCTGTTCAACAGTGGGTATCTCTCTGACAAGAGACTCTTATCAAACTCAGCACAGAGACACTGAGGAACCAGGAGACCAGAACCCAAATCCAGGATAAAGAGGTTCAGTGAGTGTGGTGTTGAAGGTGTGGAGGTGGATCCGAGTGTCAGAGGAGATTCTGTAGAAGGACAGAATGCCAGCAGGACTGTCCACATACACTGCTACTCTATTAGAGACAGAGGTGCAGAAGATAGATGTTTTCACATTATTGTGCCAGACAAAGTAGCCGCCGTCAGAGCACTCCAGACACCAGGACTGATCGTTCCTTCCAAACACACAGTCTTTACTGTTTCCTTTCCTCCTCATTCCTTTGTAACTCACTGACAAATTAACTTCTCCTGTCCACTTGACTTCCCAGTAATAGCGACCAGTCAGCCAAGTGCTACACAGCAGCTGAGGATCAACATCAAACCTGTCCGGATGATCAGGATAGGACTCAACCTCCCACACACGAGCCACCCTCCTGTTGTCATCAAACAGTCTGAGATGTTTATTTACTGTGTTTGTGTCGATTGTGAGCTGACAGGAATCTGATGGAGAGAACAAACACAATCCAACTGTAGTTACTGATCCCGTATCGACACTTTGATGACGACTCGTGAATAAGTGGTGTGAAAGTCTGAAGATATTGAAGGTGTGCTGCTTTGTTGTCATGAATCAAATAAAAACACACTTACATTTCCTCAGACCTGGTGTCAACCACTGGGCTCCAGCAGGCTCCACCCTGAAAGGATTACGGGGGTCATTTTCATTATGGTTGCCATGGAGTAAACATCTCTGTCTGCAGCATGGAGCTCTCACTCCAGCGCGCCAGCAGACAGCTGCTCAGTGGGGAGAGAGAGGAGAGCAGTGTGTGTGTGTGTGTGTGTGTGTGTGTGTGTGTGTGTGTGTGTGTGTGTGTGTGTGTGTGTGTGTGGCCCTCACTATGACCTCCGCTGCTGCAGCAGAGTGTTGTGAGGACACACACAGTAGTATCAGTGAGAGAACAGAGAGCAAATTAGTAAAAGAATGTGTTTCAGGGTGGTACTTAAACGAATCATTGAATTATTTCAATGGTTCGATTCATTAAGTTCCTTGATTCATTTTTTTACTGATTCGAAGTTTCGTTAAATGTGCGCACCACAGTCTGAACACGTGTTTGCTGATGCACAATGTTGTAATCTAGATGATGTGGAGGTAAATAAGAGGACAAGCAAAGACAGAAACCGTTGTAAAGGGCAGCTGGGGGAAAAAAACCTATGATTTTAAGCTGTCATTCTCTCATCTTTAAGGTATGGGGGAAAACTGGTCTTAAGAACTACAACACTGTCCCTGGGATTGATAAAGCATTTGAGAATTTTTGTATCCACCTCCTGCCTATGTCTGTCTACAACTCTGTCTCTGACATCCATGAGTTCCACTACCAAGCAAGAGAATACTCCAGGAACAGCTGTTTTCATGCTCGACTAATCGCTTTGATTACAGGTGGAAGCAGTGCCTTCCCTCCCTACATGCAGATCGAGCAATGTGCGTAAACCCCTGTGATCCATGGGGGGCCTAATCTTGTGCAAGAGGATTCATTCTCATCCATGAGGCGCTCTGTGCGCTGAACACTTACAGATACAGCCAGCCCATGAAAGAGAGAGAAAAAGGAGGAATCCGACGCTGCGCATGCAGCAGCACACCTTCCCTCCCGTTGGGCATTTTCAGCAGTTTCAATGTCAGCTTAGTTTCAATAAATTGCATGTTCAGAAAATCTTTTGTCTCACCCCCCATTTCTTCTCGTTTTATGTTGAAGCTCTACATGGAACCCTCATTCACTGCCAGCCATGTCCTGATCAGAAAAGCCCTTTGCTGCCAGCGCTTTTCAACATTTTTACTGTTTTTTTTAAGTCACAGAACGTTGCGCGCTAGGATGATGTTGACGCCAAAACTAACAAAACACAGAGGAGACTCGCCTCTTACATCAGGAAGAATCCACGTGTTTCGAGTGTTATCCGTTCTTTCATAATCCATTGTCGAATTGTGATTGGTAGAAGATTTTCCAGTTCGTGCCTGACATTTTTTTTTACAGCAGACGGCCAAAACGATCTCCTAGCACATGGATTTTCGGCTTCCTGATCTTGTGACATATGTGGATAAAGATCAGCTTTACAGCTGGGATGTTTGTTCTCACGGTGCGGGTGCTCATTTCGACGCCCACACAGTAAAAAAATGCAAATGATAAGAACCATGCAAAATATGATTTTTGACCATTTTTCAAGTTGTTAAATTTTCTATCAGGACTGTATTGAAATGATTTGGCTGTGTAACATCTGGTGTTTTTTAAACGAAGGTTCATCCTCATTTCATTTTATTTTACTTTGTAGTTCCAACAGGGAGGTTTCGGCCTCGGCCTGACACCAGGAAATGGTGCGAGGTCTTGTTATCAGTAGAACTCCCTTGAGAAAGTCCAGACTACGACGTCTTTGAGGATTGTTGATTTATAACAAGCACCTGGGAATGTTTTCTTCCTGGGTGAGAGTCTGAGAACAATGTGTGTGCGTTTATCTTTTATTGTGTGTGTGCTGTGTACTTTAATAAAACCTTTCTGAAGGCGTCAGCCGGACGAGAGAGCGATCTGACTACCAATTGGTGGGTAATCTTTTCATCTCTCCGACTTTGCAAAGTCTGGTTTTTGGTTGTTGGTTGATTATTGGTTGTTGGTATTGGTTTGACAAACTGATTACTCTAACCCCCTTGTGTGTGTGTTGAACTTTCTTTGAGGTAATGCTGGATTGAATAATAAAATTACCCAACAAGGACTGTATCTGTTATTGATGTTCAACCATTTTCTTTAGTGAGAAAAGGAAAAGATGCTATTTGTCTGATTGTCCATACAACCCCATAATCAGCACGAAGCAGACAGACAGAGCTTAATTATGAACAAATAACACATTTACAGTTCTTTCTCCTCTATCATACATTGTTTGTGTCTGCAGCAGGTGTCTCCATACCTCAGGGTGTCCAGTCTCCAGTTTAGATCCTTCAGTCCAGCTGACAGCAGCTTCACTCCTGAGTCTCCTGGATGATTGTAGCTCAGGTCCAGCTCTTTGAGCTGGGATGGGTTGGAGCTTAGTGCTGAGGCAAGAGAAGCACAGCCTTCTTCTGTGATCAGACAACCTGACAAGCTGCAGACACACAAAACACAGAACAAACATGCATAAACAATGGCAGACATCCAGCGGGGGAGGGAGAAATTAAAGACACCTGGGTTCATGATCTTTGTTAAAGCTTTGCTAAATCAGGTCAAGTAATTCCAGCCACATCAGTCAGGGGCGACAGAGGCTCAGGGGTATGGCGTAAACCCTATAATTGGTGAGTTTCTGGTTCAAACCCAGGCTCCAGTAGTAATGTCAGTTGTTGTGTCCGTGGGGAAGACACTTCACCCTCTTTTACTGCTGGTGCTTCTTGGAGGTACCAGCGGTACCTGTGTATAGCAGCCTTGCCTTTTTCAATGTGCCCCAGGAAAGTTGTGGTTACAGTGTAGCTTATCATCATGTACATGTGTGAATGGCTGACTGATAATTTATCTTTTATGTTAGAACAAAAATATCATTATATCATCAAAAATACACAAGACTATTTAAAACACAGAACACACACAGCACATCTTGATACCTGCACGTTGGGGTTTACCCCCGTGAACGAGAGGGTGGTCTAACTCCGCCTACTAGTGGGGGGGATGGGTTCTGACTATTGTCTGTGTTTATGCACCAAACTACAGTCGATATTGCACACTCGTTTTGGAGTCCTTGGAGGAGGTGCTGGAAAGCGCTCCTTCCGGTGACTCCCTCGTCCTGCTGGGGGATTTTAATGCTCACATGGGCAATGGCAGTGAGACCTGGAGAACTCCTGATTTGAACCTGAACTGTGTTTTGTTATTGAACTTCTGTGCTCATGGATTGTCCATAATGAACACCATGTCCAAACATAAAGTTGTCCTTATGTGTTCTTGGCACCAGGATACCTTAGGCCGCAGCTCAGTGATCAACTTTGTTGTTGTCTCATATGATCTGCGGCTGCATGTCTTGGACACTCGGGTGAAGAGAGGGGTGGTGAGTTGGCTTCGATGGTGCAGGAGGATGCCGGTCAAATCTCGCTGGCCTAAATGTATTGTGAGGGTCTGCTGGGAATGTCTTTCGGAGTCTCCTGTCAGAAGAAGTTTCAACCCCTACCTCCGACAGAACTTCTGAAATGTTCCGAGGGAGGCAGGGGACATTGAGTCTGAGTGGGCCATGTTCTGGTTCTAGTTCTAGTTGTGGTGTCAATCCCCGAACCCGCTGGTGGACACATATGGCTGAAGAATCAATCAATCAATCAATCAAAGCTTTATTTATAAAGCGCCTTCCGCAACCCTGTCAGGAAGCCCAAAGCACTGAACATGGTACAGTTGTAAGTAATTATAGTGAATAAATCAACAATAAAATAAATTCAAATTACAAAATACAAAATGGAAATTACAAGATAGATGAAACATTCCGGTAAAATACAAATGTGTGAAACACATTTGGATTGAGCGGATGGATTGAGTGTACCAATGAAAACTGTGGAATGGATTCAACATAATAGAGGGCCATAATCAAACATGTTCTGGAAACGCCAAGCGGAGGAGGTGTGTTTTTAGGTGGTTCTTAAAGACTGGCAGAGAAGGGGACAGCCTAACTGAGGGTGGCAACTGGTTCCAGAGTAACGGTGCTAGGACTGAGAAAGCCCGGTCCCCACGGGTACGACACCTAGACCGAGGGACAGCGAGCAGGCCTTGGTCAGAGGAGCGCAGAGCGCGTGATGGGGAGTGTCTGTTCAGGAGTGTGGCCAGATAGGGGGGACCACCACCCTGGAAGAAATGATAAACAAAGACGAGTATTTTGAATTGTGAGCGATAGCAAATCGGAAGCCAGTGCAGGGTGGCCAGAACTGGGCTGATGTGGTCCCGTTTCCTGGTCCCAGTCAGGAACCTGGCAGCGCTGTTCTGCACAACCTGTAGGCGACGCAGTGTTGACTGACACAACCCTGCATGTAGAGAGTTGCAGTAGTCAAGCCGAGAAATTACAAAGGCATGCAGTACCCGCTCCAGGTGGGCTCTCGACAGCATATGCTTGATTTTAGCAAGGCGTCTCAGGTGAAAGAAACTGGAACGGATCACAGAATTGATGTGAGCGTCAAATTTAAGTCCTACATCAAGTTTCACCCCCAAACTGGTAACAACTGGTTTTGAGTATGGAGAAAGAGGGCCAAGATCAGCATAACGATCCAGAATGAGTGCTATTTGGTCTTTTTGGCCTGTGGGACTCCAGAGGGTACTGGCAGACTGTTACACCCCTCTGTGGGCTCAGCTAGGAAGGTGAGGAGGGGGCAACATAAGAAGGACGAGTTTAACGTAAAGGGGGAAGAAAGGGCTTGACAGAGCAAAACCAACTCAAAGTGTCCTTGTCTTTTCAAAGGTTTATTAAAAAGAAAAAAAACAAAAGGATGTCACAAACTCCTCCTCCTGACCATCTCTGCTAACCTCGCAGGCGGAGCACTACACACCAGTTTGACCTGGGATGACGCCGCCCTGAAGGCCGTCTACCTGGAGGGGTTGTCTCCCCGAATCCCGGAGGGCATGATCGGGCATGAAGCCCCAACCTCCCTGGACCTGGCGGTGGACCTAGCTCTCCAACTGGACCGCTGCATCCTGAATCGACCGAGCACAATGTCGGCTCCTATTCACACCAGACCATCTCCCCATTGTCAGGACAGCCGACCGACGGAGGAACCCATGCAGTTGGGTCATCTTCCCCCCGAGGAATGGGCGCGACGTTACCAGGAGGGACGATGCGCCTATTGTGGGGATTTGGGTCACCACCGCGCCACGTGTCCGATACGACCGGGAAACGGTCCCTCCGGGTCGGTGTAGGGGCTGTCCCGCCCGGAGTCTCCACTCTTCCAGTCCCACATCGCACCACCCTCCCGGTCACATTCCAGCTGGACCAAGGGCCAGTCCCACTGGAAACCCTTCTCGACACCGGCGCCACGGAATGTTTTATTGACCAGGGATTAGTCGCCCGCCTCAAGATACCCCTCACAATTCTAGACCGACCCATTCCTATCACCTCAGTGGATGGTCGCCTGCTCATGCCGTACCCTCTTACCCACCGATCCCAGGACCTCCGCATGACCATTAATCAGCACGTGGAGACCCTTCATTTTCTGGTCATTCGGGCCCCGGCTACTCTTCTCATCCTGGGTCACTCGGGGTTCTGCCGCCATGAGCCTCACATATCGTGGTCCACCAGCAAGGTTATGGCCTGGGGCACGACTTGCCTCACCCACTGTAGTTCCCTTGGATCCCAGACTAGAGCGACACCTCCTAAGGATGTGGACTTGACACTCGTTCCACCACAGTACCATGACCTCGCTCAGGTTTTTGCCAAGGAACCCACCACCAGGTTACCCCCTCATCGGCCTTATGATTTGGAGATCAGACTCCATCCCGGAACCACCCCACCCCGGGGTCGTCTGTTCTCACTCTCCCCAGAGGAGACCAGGGCAATGGACTCCTACATCAACGAGGCCCTCCAGAAGGGTTTCATCTGCCAATCCACATGCCCTGGCGCTGCAGGGTTTTTCTTTGTTAAGAAGAAGGAGGGGGATCTCCGGCCCTGTATTGACTACCGGGGGTTGAACAAGATAACCATCGGGGATCGTCACCCTCTTCCCCTCATGGGTACTGCTCTGGATGTGACCTCCCAATCCACCGTATTCACCAAACTGGACCTGCGTAGTGCCTATAACCTGATCCGCATCAAGGAGGAAGAGGAGTGGAAAACTGCCTTCATCACACCGACCGGCCACTACGAGTACCTAGTCATGCCCTTCGGCCTCTGCAATAGCCCTGCGGTTTTCCAACGGTTCATCACCAATGTACTGAGGGACATGCTAAGTCGTTGGGTCTTCGTATATCTGGACGACATCCTCATATACTCTCGCACAGCCGAAGAGCACACCCAGCACGTTCGAGCCATCCTGTCCCGTCTCCTGGACCACAATCTCTATTCCAAATTGGAGAAGTGTGCCTTTCACCAGGAGTCCACCTCCTTCCTGGACTTCACCATCTCCTCCCGGGGTCTGAGCATGGATCCTCAGAAGGTTCAGGCTGTAGCTCAGTGGCCACTACTCACGACCCTAAAACAGCTACAGAGCTTTCTGGGCTTTTCAAACTTCTACCGCAGATTTATCCGCAACTTCAGTTCCCTCGCCTCGCCTCTAACCTCCCTCACCAAAACAGCCAATCAGCCTTGCCCTTTCCGCCTCACTCCGGGGAATATCCGAGCCTTCCATGAACTGGTCCGTCACTTTGTGAGTGAACCCATCCTCCTCCACCCGGCCCTTCATCGTGGAGGTGGACGCCTCCGAGGTGGGAGCGGGAGCCGTCCTATCGCAACGGGGTCCGGACTCCAAACTCCAACCCTGCGCTTACTTTTCCCAGAAGTTCTCCCCTACACAGCAGAACTATGGGGTCGGCGACCGGGAGTTGCTGGCGATAAAATGGGCTCTGGAGGAGTGGAGGCAATGGCTCTTAGGAACCTCCAATCCTTTCCTAATCTGGACCGACCATCAGAACCTAATCCATCTACAGACTGCCCGCCAACTCAACCCTCGTCAGGCTCGGTGGGCCCTCTTTTTTGAGCCCTATAACTTTCACATTGCCTACCGACCCGGCTCCAAGAACCTCAAGGCGGACACTCTCTCCCGGCGCTACACGCAAGATCCAAAGCCTCCGGAACCTTTGACCATCCTGCCGGCCCAACGGTTCTTGGCCTCCCTACAATGGCCTCTGGAACAATCCATCCGGGCTGCTCTCCCTGCTGATCCTGCACCCCCAGAGACTCCCCCGAACCGCCTCTACGTTCCGGTCATCTGCCAACGGGAGGCCTTGAAGTGGGGGCATTGCTCGCAGCTCACTGGACATCAAGGCCAAGCTCGAACCCTCCAGTTTCTCCGTCGGGTGCTTTGGTGGCCCTCTATGAAGAAGGACATACGCGAGTTCACTGCCGTATGTGATGTATGCGCCCGGTCCAAGTCGTCCACCCAACCTGGCGCCGGGGTCTTGCAACCTCTCCACGTGCCCAAGTGGCCGTGGTCACACATCAGCCTGGATTTCATCACGGGACTTCCCGCTGTCGATCGCCTGTCCTCTCCATCACTGACCATTTCTCTAAGGCCGTGCATCTAGTGGCCTTGACCGGTCTTCCCACTGCCAAGAGAACGACTGAACTCCTCCTCGACCAAGTGGTGCAACTCCACGGCTTTCCCCAGGACGTGGTGTCCAACAGGGGACCCCAGTCCATCTCACGTTTCTGGAGGGCCTTCTGTCATCTGGTCGGCGCTTCCAACAGCCTCTCCTCCGGGTATCATCCTCAGACTGATGGCCAGACGGAACGGGCGAATCAGCAGCTTGGACGCTACTTGCGCTGCTTCGCTTTGTCCCAACCGTCCACCTGGCCCCGCTACCTCCTGTGGGTGGAACTCTCTCACAACCTCCATACCTCCTCTGCCACGGGTCTTTCTCCCTTCGAGACGTGTTATGGGTACCAGCCCCCTCTGTTCAGCCATCAGGTGCCTGAGGTGGAGGTTCCTGCTGAGACTCTGGTCGCCGCTGTCGTCTCGCCTGGATCCGGGCCCGTGCAGCCATCAACCGGGCCAATACGGAATACGCCCATCCACATCGCCGCCGCCACCGGTCAGGCCCCGTCTTCCAGCCTGGTGACGAGGTGTGGCTCTCTTCCACCAATCTGAGGATGCCAGCGGGCTCCCGGAAGCTCGCTCCCCACTTCCTGGGGCCTTTCCCGGTCCAGAGTGTCATCAATCCGGTCACTTACCGGCTGCGCCTTCCGGACGCTCTTAGGATTCACCCGGTCTTCCACATCTCCCAGCTCAAGCCGGTGGTCTCTTCTCCTCTCCACCATCATCCGACTCGATTGCCTCCACCCCGCTGTGTTTTCAATTCAATTCAATTCAAGTTTATTTATATAGCGCCAAATCACGACAAGAGTCGTCTCAAGGCACTTCACATAATAAACATTCCAATTCACAGTTTATTAAGCCAATCAGAAATAATGTTTCCTATATAAGGAACCCAGCAAATTGCATCAAGTCACTGACTAGTGTCAGTGACTATACAGCAATCCTCATACTAAGCAAGCATGCAGCGACAGTGGAGAGGAAAACTCCCTTTTAACAGGAAGAAACCTCCAGAGAATCCTGGCTCAGTATAAGAAGCCATCCTCCACGACTCACTGGGGATCGAGAAGACAGAGCAGGCAGACAAAGACACAGACACACACAGACACACACACACACAGACACACAGACACACACACACACACACACACACACACACACACAGACACACAGACACAGACACACACACACACACACACACACACACACACACACACACGCAATGTGTCTACAGCTACACCGTGATGTCTCAGTAAACATTGTATCTGGTGAAAGATAAACTTTATTGTATTCATCCCAGTGGATCCACAATTAAACGGATAAACTAGTATTGACGAGGATTGTGTGTACTCTGTTCGCAGGATTCTGGATGCCCGCCGCCAGGGACGTGGTTGGCAGTACCTGGTGGACTGGGTGGGCTACGGCCTGGAGGAGCGCTCTTGGGAACCCGCTCGCTCGTTTTTGGACCCGGCCCTGTTGACTGAATTCTGGTCCCGCCGCCCTGGGACTTCTGGGGCTCGGCTCGGCAACGTCATCACATCAACTCTATTTAGGGAAGTGCCACCGCTAAGTTGTCACTCAGTCATCGTACTAGACATACGTCGAACCTAGTTCTCAGTATCATCCACCATCAAACCAGGGAAGAGATCTTTCCTCGCTGCCTACCACCGGTAAGACAGCTTCCTTAATTATTTGGAACCGCCGCTCAGCCTCGGCTCTATCTGAGCGCTGCGTCGCCGTTCCTAGATCAAAGCTGCGTGCTCTGTTCAACCTAACGCTAGCCACTCCGCGTCTGGGTCACACAGCCATGGTACAATCAACCTCCGCTATGCTTCAGCTCAGCCAATCCAACCTGACAAAGGATGGGGCAAAACCCTTACCTAGAAATTAACCAAGCGAAGATTAATTCATTAACTGAGAACATCCACACTGAAAATCCTAAAATAACTCTCCTTAATTAAAAGGGCAAAAAACCCACTGAGTAATTAACCAAGGTTTGAGAGACAAACCAAACTAAAATTACTAAAGTAACTGAAATTGTCAAAACACCAAAAATCCTAAATAGTTCTTCTACATTAAAAAGGGAAACCAAGACCCCAACAGGGCACAACCCCAACTGGTATTTAACCAAGGTAAGTCTAAAGGACGAACCAAACCAAAATGACCAATTAACTTAAATTGTCCAAACTTAAAAAATCCTACCCACTCTCTCACTAGAAGTAAGAACAACTGCAAAAGGTTTAAACCACAAGACCAAGAGAACCACAAGGGAAGAGAACACCAGTTGCTGCTGCAACCCACAAACATTTCTCTCCCCTGATGAGCTCCAGCTGGCCGCTTTTGAAGGGCCAGCTGATGAGATGAAAAGTCCCAGCTGGCCGACTGCTGCTCTGGTGCTGTCCATGGTCCTGAAAGAAAGTTGCTTCCCAAGGGGCAGCTGTCCAAGGTGCTGCACTGCAGAACAGGAAAACAGGGCTCCAACACCACTGGGCTCCAAAACGGCGGCAGCCGTAACACAGACAAAGCGGAATGCGGCCCTGTTAGTAAACAGAGAGCCGAGAATAACTAGCGGCAGACACGGAGAAGCTTGAAAAATACCTCGCGAAAAAACTCTAAAAATATGAACGTTTAATTCCCCCGTGAATGGAGGAGTGAAAAGATGCGCAGCCAGCATTTTATTTGTGGACGGACATGACAGGAAATGTGGGTTTAGAGGTGGTGAGCGCATGAAGAGGTGGAGGAGAATTAGCGACAAATTTGTCCGTGTTGAAAAGTATCATATACAAAAAAACACAATATAAACACACTATCCTGGACCGGATACATGAGAGGATACCACAGAACAGCGCTACGCCCTCTGTTGTCCTGGTGGGTAATTGCTTTGCAACACTTCCCAGGAGACGAAGTATGAGGGCAAAATGTCTCCGTCCGTGTGTGCTGTTGGAGCTGACGGAGAAGCATGAATCAGGTATCTCCATTAGAGATGGGGTGAGAAGTTCGGTCATCCGATAGGGGCTTGGAGTAGACCCACTACTCCTCCACATCGAGACGAGCCAGTTGAGGTTGCTCGGCATCTGATTAGGATGCCTCATGGATGCCTCCCTGGTGAGGTTTTCCGAGGCATGTCTAACCTGGAGAAGATGTAAAGGAAGACCCAGGACATCCTGGAGGGATTATGTGTCTTGGCTGGCCAGGGAACGCCTTAGGATTTTCCCGGAGAAGCTGGCCCAAGTGGCCGGCGAGAGTTAAGTCTGGGCCTCCCTGCTTAGGCTCCAGCTCTCGCGACCCGACTCCGGATAAGCAGCTGGAAATGAATGGATGAATGGACGAATGGATGTTTAAAACACAAATTTAGAAAAATATATTTCTAGTTCTTTACATTTTATATGCAAAATAAGGCAAAAAGTACCCCCATTAAATGTCAAATGTTAATGCATTTTGTGTTAATATGAACTTTAGAATGCACGACAATAAACACTAATATAACCCAGAAGATGTGGGATTGACAACCCCAGAGTCCTGATACTGACCTGAGAGTCTCCAGTTGACAGTGTGGACTCCTCAGTCCAGAGGACAGAAGTTTCAGACCTGAATCGTGCAGGTTGTTGTTACTCAAGTCCAGTTCTTTGAGACCAGAGGACTGAGAGCTGAGAACTGAGGACAGAACTTCACAGCTTTTCTCTGACAGGTTACAGCCATTCAGCCTGGAGGAACAATACAATATTAAACCATTTACATTTAAAATGTTTATGTAAATGAGTAAAGTAGTAAATTATAAACAGTTTTTCTGCTCAGCTCAGCTTGTTAAAAAGCAACTCATAATGACAGGGGGAGGAGAGAGAGAGAGAGAGAGAGAGAGAGAGAGAGAGAGAGAGAGAGAGAGAGAGAGAGAGAGAGAGAGAGAGAGAGAGAGAGAGAGAGAGAGAGAGAGAGAGAGAGAGAGAGAGAGAGAGAGAGAAAAGCAAAACTTAACTTGATACATTGATGTTAATTTGTTTTAGGTTTATACTTGTGTTATTAAACGTAATGTGGAAAATAGCTTTGCTGTAATTGTGTGTATTTATATGTGTTTATATATATATATATATATATATATATATATATATATATATATATATATATATATATATATATATATATATATATGTGTGTGTGTGTGTGTGTATATATATATATATATATATATATATATATATATATATATATATATATATATATATATATGTGTGTGTGTGTGTGTGTATATATATATATATATATATATATATATATATATATATATGTGTGTGTGTGTGTGTGTGTATATATATATATATATATATATATATATATATATATATATATATATATATATATATATATATATATATATATATATATATATTTATTTATTTATATTTATTTATATGTATATTTATTTATATATGTATATTGAGATCACAAACTCTCCAAGTTAATTGTGAATTTGTTTAATTTTATCAGATATGCATTGCGATATTAACTATAAAGATAACATTTCATCAGAATACTAAATTGTTTGATTATTGCTTTTGTTGTTTTAGTCTTAATTCCAGAAGAGGCCAACAGATAATACCAACTGATATTTGGGGCAAAGAGAAGAGAACAGAAACAAAGTTGCTCTTTACCAGTGAGTCAATGTGAACTGAAAACAAAACAAAGAAAAAATACTGGTTGTTCAGCAATTGCAGATCTGAAGGCCATTGATGAGGAGGCATATGAATAACTCAGCGGAACAACGGACACGTATAGTGAACATTCTCAGTCATCCCAGGTCATGGTAATCAAAAGGGGTTCAAATGAAGGCAACTGGACTTTTTTAGTTTATTGAAGATCAGGTTTCTGCTCATCGTGCCACAATAGACAGTTTATGAGAAAAACGCTCCCATATTCTAGTCAGAATTGACAAAGCTCCTTGAAAGAGAAGAAAAACATCTTCAAGAAACCTAACAAGTCCTGTTGCCTTTATTTGAACCCCTTTGAATGGACTAGAAAATGTGTTTAAAAATGTAGAAACAAGTCTTAGACATGTTGTGGGATAAATAAGTTAAGTTATTGCTAGTCTGCTTTAACATGTGTTTAGTGATGTCACTGCAGTGGCCATATTTTTTGTTAGAAAAAAATTATAATTTTTGTATTGTTCATTTGTTACTGTAAGTAACTAGTAAACGTTTAGGGCATTTGTATTAAATTACAGTTTTTTATGGTTAAGTAACACGTAATATTTTAAATTAATATGTTTGTTCATTGTTTGTTTGAACTTTGTTTAGGTGACTATTAAAATTGCTAAGGCACCGTGACTTATTTGACTAATTTATTTATTTTTTTGCTTTATGTTAGGGACCATAAAGTTGAACTAAAGGTAAGTTACTGATGAGGTAATGATTAGTTAATCATTAGGAGTCATTACTTTACTTTAGGAGCCACAAAAAGCATAAGGGATGGTAAGTTACTGATTTGATAATGATTAGTCATTAGGAGTAATACCGGCAGAACAATTATTGAACAAGACAAATATATGTCGATATATTAAGTCATCCGTTTCTGATTTGATATTAATGACTGAACAGCTATTAAGTAATCATTCAGGAATAATCAGCTAATGAAATAGGTTTGGACTTGGGTGTAAAGCTTAGGTAATTGTTGTTGAATCATTAGTGGGTGATTAAGTATATATTAATATTATGATTTACTAACCATTAAAAAAGCATTAAAATCATTAAATAATCATTAGCTAATAAATCCACCATGAAGTAGTTGTGAAGCATATACATTCATTAGTTAATCATTATATCCTGATTCGGTCATTTAGTACTAAGTAGGTAAGCAGATTTGCTGAAGCTTGTGTGATAATTTGTTGCTGATTAGTTATTTAGCCGTTTCATGACTAACCAGACATTAATTAATCATTCAAGAAGCATTAGCTAATAAATTCACCATGGGATGGTTGTGAATCTTAGGTCATCCTTAGTTAGTCATTAAATCCTGATTCATTTATCATTAGTTACTGATTGGGTAAGCAGGTTTTGGGGCCATTGTTTGTCAGTGTTACTGAATTTAATTTTTATTGATTTGTTTGCATCAATGTACAAAATGCCTAGCATTAGCATCCAACAGCAGATGTGCAGTGACGTCATCTGTAAAGTAGACTATCCACACGTGTCTTTAAGAGTACGTAAGCTGCCATCATAAACTGCTCCTCCCGCTGTCCGGTTTTATGCTTCCGGTTCTTCTACTTTGTGTCGTAACTGGCGGCTTTACTAGTTCGAAGATGAGTTCTGGTTCAACGTGTGCTGCTGTCAGCTGACTCAACAATTCAAGAAGCCTAAAAAACATTTTAGAAACAGTTTGTCTTGAGCATGAACAGCTTTGAAAGGTCAGCCCGTGCTGAGCACCTTACGCACTGCATTCTATGCCACAGAAGGAGGATCGGAAACTAGTGTAGTTTTGAGCGTTAAGACTGAAATCGCACCAAAGAGAGTTCATGCTTGTTGGTTTCATTTTAATGATAAAAAGCCATCAGAGCTACACCCTGATCCATAACTGTATTTGGGCTATGACCGCCCCCCAGCACAGAAAAAGGCTCAACTAGAATGCCATGAGGATGCCGTGAGTCAGACAGCTTGCAGCAACATAAAACAAAAATACATATTCTGTACCTGGCCTGTGAAACTAGGTGTAGCTTGTCCCCGTTTCACATTTCATTCATTAAATTCTTCAAAAAACACTAAATATTGCTAAATAATTGCACATGATGAATGTTGTTAGCATCATGGCTAGCTGGCTATCGTAAGAAGTGTGCTGTGCAGTAGTCTGGACGTTGGCACGTCAGTGAGAAGTGATGGGTGAGGCACTGTCCTCGCTGCTTTTTGAAACATCCTTACAGTGTACACGCCACCGAAGTGCTGACATTTAAAATAGCGAAGGCGTAAACAAGCAACCATAAACAACACAGCAAACAGAAGCAAAATGCCATCTTCTGCTATGAATCATGGGTAATGGTAGCCTGGCAAGCCAGACTAAATAAATGTATTATTTAGTCTGGCCATGCTCCATTGACGGCTCTCGGTTGTGGGGCGGGTTCTACTGTTGTCTTTCAAATGATCTCCGCATTCCACTGGACAATGAATGTGACATACTCTTGTTTCACTCTGTTGCATCATCCCACCCACCAGGCATATAGAGTGCCTTGATTGGCCCACAAAGCAGATAAAGCTCTGTGATTTGTTCACTAAGCAGATAGAGCACTATGATTGATCCACCATTATGGACCAATCACAGCTCTTTATGTGTTTGAAACCCCTCTAGAGAGCTGTGATTGGCTAGCCAGAGTCCTGGTAGGAGCTGCGGAGGTTCCAATGGAGCATGCCTAGACCAAACTTTGCAAAGCAAGAATTTGGTCTAGTTCACTAGGCTAGGGTAATGGTGCAAAGCCAGGAATACTGTGGACTGGTTTCTGCTTTAAGACGTGACTCTGTATGAACTTACAGAGCTTTGTTGGAGGCTTTCACCACTGGCAGCAGCCTCAGAAGAACCTCCTCTGAGGCAGAGTAATTCTTCAGATCAAACACATCCAGATCTTCTGATGACAGTAAGATGAAGGCCAGAGCTGACCACTGAGGAGGAGACAGTTGATCTGTAGAGAGACTTCCTGAACTCAGAGACTGCTGGATCTCCTCCACTAGAGAATGGTCATTTACTTCATTCAGACAGTGGAACAGGTTGATGCTTTTCTCTGTAGACTGATTTTCACAGATTTTCTTCTTGATGTACTGGAGTGTATCCTGGTTGGCCTGCGACTTGTGTCCTGTCTGTGTCAGCAGGCCTTGTAGGAGACTCTGATTGGTCTGCAGTGAAAGACCCAGGAGGAACCGTAGGAACAAGTCCAAATGTCCATTTGGACTTTCTAAGGCCTTGTCAACTGCACTCTGATGGAGGTATTTTAATTTTAGTCTCTTGAAAACTTTGGACTTCCTAGAGCGTTTCTTGTTTTCTCTCATAAGGTTAACTCCAGACTTGCAGAAAATCCGATGGACATGAAAAGCAGCAAGAAACTCCTGTACGCTCAAATGGATGAAGCAGAAGATCTTGTCCTGGTCTAGTCCTCTCTCCTCTCTAAAGATCTGTGTGAACACTCCCGAGTACACAGAGGCTGCTCCGATATCGATGCCGCACTTGGTCAGGTCTGGCTCATAGAAGACCAAGTTTCCTTTCTCTAGCTGATCAAAAGCCAGTTTACCCAGAGACTTGATCATCCTCCTGCTCTTTTTACTCCAGGGTGGATCTATCTCAGCTCCTCCATCATACTTTACTTTCTTGACTTTGGCCTGAACCACCAGGAAGTGGATGTAGATCTCACTCAGGGTCTTGGGAAGCTCTCCTCCCTCTTTGGTCTTCATCACATCCTCCAGAACTGTAGCAGTGATCCAGCAGAAGACTGGGATGTGACACATGATGTGGAGGCTTCGAGATGTCTTGATGTGAGAGATGATCCTGCTGGCCTGCTCCTCATCTCTAAATCTCTTCCTGAAGAACTCCTCTATCTGTGGGTCAGTGAACCCTCTGACCTCTGTCACCATGCCAACACACTCAGGAGGGATCTGATTGGCTGCTGCCGGTCTTGTGGTTATCCAGAGGCGAGCAGAGGGAAGCAGGTTCCCCCTGATGAGGTTTGTCAGCAGAACATCCACTGAGCTTGACTCTGTAACATCAGTCAGGATTTCGTTTTTGTGGAAGTCCAAAGGAAGTCGACACTCATCCAGACCATCAAAGATGAACACGACCTGGAAGTCTTCAAAGCTCCAGATTTCTTTGGTTTCAGTAAAGAAGTGATGAACAAGTTCCACCAAGCTGAACTTCTTCTCCTTCAGCACATTTAGCTCTCTGAAGGTGAACGGAAACAGGAAGTGGATGTCCTGGTTGGCTTTGTCTTCAGCCCAGTCCAGAGTGAACTTCTGTGTTAAGACTGTTTTCCCGATGCCAGCCACTCCCGTTGTCATCACTGTTCTGATTGGTTCATCTCTTCCAGGTGGAAGTTTAAAGATGTCTTCTCGTCTGATTGTTGTTTCTGGTATGACTGGTTTCCTGAATGCTGTTTCAATCTGTCTGACCTCATGTTCACCTTTGACCTCTCCAGTCCCTCCCTCTGCGATGTAGAGCTCTGTGTAGATCTGATTCGGGAGCGTCGGGTTTCCTGCTTTAGCGATCCCCTCGAACACACATTGGAACTTGTCCTTTAGACCACGTTTGAGATGATGTTGACAAACCTCTGCAACACGTCCTGAATGAAAAAGAGAAATTATTAATTGAGTATTTTAATACTGTGATCCATCACCCACAGCATGACTCCCGTTACACTTTACACCCTCAAATTATGTTTTGATGCAAATAGATGCAGGATAGATCCTCTTACTTCTCAGTAGATGGTCAGCCAGCTCCCCCTGCTTCATCCTCCTCAGGAAAGAAACTGTGATCTTCATAAATGATTCTCTGCTGCTCCTCCTCTGCTCTGCATCCTCGCCCTCCAACACCTCCTCCTCGTCCACCCTCTGACTTTCTGGATAATCTGGATCCAGAAGCTTTTGACACTTTTTTAATTCGTTCTTCACAAAAGTGACAATGTTGTCTTCCAGCAGCTGCAACAGAAAAACATCTGAGTAACGCATCAGACTGAAATCATGGAGCACCGGAACTGCGTTGCTCTAGGTGGCTGCATGTTGGAGTAGCTCTGTTGACTACACGTAAGTTTTGCCTTTTCTTGGACATTTTTTCTTCTAGTTTCTCAAGAAAAACTATTTTGTTGGACACTTTTCTGTTTCTGGTGCTGTGAAGCTTGGAGGGTTCTTACTGCAATTTTTTAGCTATTTTCACTTTTCGAGCATTTGTTATGATGTGTAACCATGGCAACAAGCTGGTTTACAATCGGGAGCAGCTGATTAACATTGGGAAGGCTGAAATAATACCTCAACTGAAGCCACAAATCCCAAATGAGCTAAAACGCAAGAAGCGTGGGTGCAGAGCGGGAGCAAAACGGAGACAGAGAAAGAGGAAATTCAAACTATCTCCTCCATCGATCATAATGGGCAAAGTGAGATCACTGGCCAACCAGACGGAGGAACTCCAAGCCCTTTCAAGGACTCAGCCAGAGTTTTGGCAGTTTCGGAACCGCTGGAGGAGATGATGCAAGGAAGGATTCTCAAGAGAAACAAGTAAATGATGGACAACCCTGAGCATTCTCTTCACAAGACTGTCTGACAACGGAAGAGTGTCTTCAGTCAGAGGCTTCTTCAGTTTGGCTGCAACACTGACCGCTACTGGAGATCCTTCCTGCCAACAGCCATTGTAATATACAATAACTCTTTGATGACTTGATTATTATTATTATTCTGAGCTACTACAGCAATCAATTTCCCTCTGCGATTAATAAAGTATTTTTGAATTGAATTTGAATTGAATTGAAAACATCAGATCCACATTGGAGAGACTGCCAAGTCACTGTGTTCTGATCCACCATCGTATCAAAAAGTGGTACAAGTAGGCAAGAATTCCTTTTCCAAGCTTTATTAAAACCTGCGTCACATGTAGCTGAATCATGCATCCATCGTAACTCCCTAAGCACTTCTTCCCTCCTCCTCTCCTCTCTTAATCCATCCTATCCTATACTGTCCCCTAGTGTTGGACACAACACACGGGTCTGCAAAAGAACAGCATGGGGATGACTGTGAATGGAACATAGGTTTTAATAAGTGTTGTCTATGTACAGACCATAAATATGGAGTCCAGCTGTATTTTGTGCTGCTGGGCAGACAGACCATCAGGAAGCTCTGAGCTCTGCAGATCCACTCTGTGGAGAATGAAGAATTAGCTGTAAGTCTGGCTACACAGAAATGTGTGGTGTCATCTCCAAAAACTATCAGTTTTCCTCCGAGCAACACCTATTCCAGTGTGCCTCAAGGCATCCCCCATCACCCCATGTGCTAAGATACATCATCAAGCCTCAGTGACTACCAGACCGTTGCTATGACACTGAACAATATGTGTGGAAAAAAGCTTGGGTCACATTTAACACATGTTGCAATAAAAAGATTGTTACGTTTTACACAGTTGCATCATCGA